GACTACATGTATGCTTGCCGTAACAGGCGACTACATGCATGCTTGTCGTAAGAGGGGACTACATGTATGCCTGTCGTAACAGGCGACTACATGCATGCTTGTCGTAACAGGCGACTACATGCATGCTTGTCGTAAGCGGGGACTACATGTATGCCTGTCGTAACAGGCGACTACATGCATGCTTGTCGTAAGAGGGGACTACATGTATGCCTGTCGTAACAGGCGACTACATGTATGCTTGTCGTAACAGGCGACTACATGTATGCTTGTCGTAACAGACGACTACATGTATGTTTGTCGTAACAGGCGACTACATGTATGCCTGTCGTAACAGGCGACTACATGTATGCTTGTCGTAACAGGCGACTACATGTATGCCGTGGTAACAGGCGACTACATGTATGCCTGTCGTAAGAGGGGACTACATGCATGCTTGTCGTAACAGGCGACTACATGTATGCTTGCCGTAACAGGCGACAACATGTTCTTGTCGTAAGAGGCGACTACATGTATGCCTGTCGTAAGAGGCGACTACATGTTCTTGTCGTAAGAGGCGACTACATGTATGCCTGTCGTAAGAGGCGACTACATGTATGCCTGTCGTAAGAGGCGACTACATGTATGCCTGTCGTAACAGACGACTACATGTATGCCTGTCGTAAGAGGCGACTACATGTATGCCTGTCGTAAGAGGCTACTACATGTATGCCTGTCGTAAGAGGCGACTACATGTATGCCTGTCGTAAGAGGCGACTACATGTATGCCTGTCGTAAGAGGCGACTACATGTATGCCTGCCGTAACAGGCGACTACATGTATGCTTGCCGTAACAGGCGACTACATGTATACTTGCTGTAACAGGCGACGACATGTATGCTTGCCGTAACAGGCGACTACATGTATGCCTGTCGTAACAGGCGACTACATGTATGCTTGCCGTAACAGGCGACTATCAGTATGCCTGTCGTAACAGGCGACTACATGTATGCTTGCTGTAACAGACGACTACATGTATGCCTGTGGTAACAGGCGACTACATGTATGCCTGTCGTAACAGCCGACTACATGTATGCCTGTCGTAACAGGCGACTACATGCATGCTTGTCGTAACAGGCGACTACATGTATGCCTGTCGTAAGAGGGGACTACATGTATGCTTGCTGTAACAGACGACTACATGTATGCCCGTGGTAACAGGCGACTACATGTATGCCTGTCGTAACAGACGACTACATGTATGCCCTGGAAACAGGCGACTACATGCATGCTTGTCGTAACAGGCGACTACATGTATGCCTGTCGTAAGAGGGGACTACATGTATGCTTGCCGTAACAGGCGACTACATGTATGCTTGCCGTAACAGGCGACTACATGTATACATGCTGTAACAGGCGACGACATGTATGCCTGCCGTAACAGGCGACTATCTGTATGCCTGTCGTAACAGGCGACTACATGTATGCTTGCTGTAACAGACGACTACATGTATGCCTGTGGTAACAGGCGACTACATGTATGCCTGTCGTAACAGGCGACTACATGTATGCCTGTCGTAAGAGGGGACTACATGTATGCCCGTGGTAACAGGCGACTACATGTATGCTTGCTGTAACAGGCGACTACATGTATGCTTGCTGTAACAGACGACTACATATATGCCCTGGTAACAGGCGACTACATGCATGCTTGTCGTAACAGGCAACTACATGTATGCTTGCTGTAACAGACGACTACATGTATGCTTGCTGTAACAGGCGACTACATGTATGCTTGCTGTAAAAGACGACTACATGTATGCTTGCTGTAACAGGCGACTACATGTATGCTTGCTGTAACAGACGACTACATGTATGCCCTGGTAACAGGCGACTACATGTATGCCTGTCGTAAGAGGCGACTACATGTATGCTTGCTGTAACAGGCAACTACATGTATGCTTGCTGTAACAGACGACTACATGTATGCTTGCTGTAACAGGCGACTACATGGATGCTTGCTGTAACAGACGACTACATGTATGCCCTGGTAACAGGCGACTACATGTATGCTTGCCGTAACAGGCGACTACATGCATGCTTGTCGTAACAGGGGACTACATGTATGCTTGCCGTAACAGGCGACTACATGTATGCTTGCCGTAACAGGCGACTACATGCATGCTTGTCGTAAGAGGGGACTACATGTATGCCTGTCGTAACAGGCGACTACATGCATGCTTGTCGTAACAGGCGACTACATGCATGCTTGTCGTAAGCGGGGACTACATGTATGCCTGTCGTAACAGGCGACTACATGCATGCTTGTCGTAAGAGGGGACTACATGTATGCCTGTCGTAACAGGCGACTACATGTATGCTTGTCGTAACAGGCGACTACATGTATGCTTGTCGTAACAGACGACTACATGTATGTTTGTCGTAACAGGCGACTACATGTATGCCTGTCGTAACAGGCGACTACATGTATGCTTGTCGTAACAGGCGACTACATGTATGCCGTGGTAACAGGCGACTACATGTATGCCTGTCGTAAGAGGGGACTACATGCATGCTTGTCGTAACAGGCGACTACATGTATGCTTGCCGTAACAGGCGACAACATGTTCTTGTCGTAAGAGGCGACTACATGTATGCCTGTCGTAAGAGGCGACTACATGTTCTTGTCGTAAGAGGCGACTACATGTATGCCTGTCGTAAGAGGCGACTACATGTATGCCTGTCGTAAGAGGCGACTACATGTATGCCTGTCGTAACAGACGACTACATGTATGCCTGTCGTAAGAGGCGACTACATGTATGCCTGTCGTAAGAGGCTACTACATGTATGCCTGTCGTAAGAGGCGACTACATGTATGCCTGTCGTAAGAGGCGACTACATGTATGCCTGTCGTAAGAGGCGACTACATGTATGCCTGTCGTAAGAGGCGACTACATGTATGCCTGTCGTAAGAGGCGACAACATGTTCTTGTCGTAACAGGCGACTACATGTATGCCTGCCGTAACAGGCGCTCAATGTATGCCTGTCGTTACAGGAGACTACATGTATGCTTGCCGTAACAGGCGACTACATGTTCTTGTCGTAACAGGCGACTACATGTATGCCTGCTGTAACAGGCGCTCAATGTATGCCTGTCGTAACAGGCGACTACATGTATGCTTGCTGTAACAGACGACTACATGTATGCCTGTCGTAACAGGCGACTACATGTATGCCTGCCGTAACAGGCGACTACATGTATGCCTGCCGTAACAGGCGCTCAATGTATGCCTGTCGTAACAGGCGACTACATGTATGCTTGCCGTAACAGGCGACTACATGTATGCCTGTCGTAACAGGCGACTACATGTATGCCTGCCGTAACAGGCGACTACATGTATGCCTGCCGTAACAGGCGCTCAATGTATGCCTGTCGTAACAGGCGACTACATGTATGCTTGCCGTAACAGGCGACTACATGTATGCCTGTCGTAACAGGCGACTACATGTATGCCTGCCGTAACAGGCGACTACATGTATGCCTGCCGTAACAGGCGCTCAATGTATGCCTTTCGTAACAGGCGACTACATGTATGCTTGCCGTAACAGGCGACTACATGTATGCATGTCGTAACAGGCGACTACATGTATGCCTGCCGTAACAGGCGACTACATGTATGCTTGCCTTAACAGGCGACTAACATGATCGAGTGGTCAGGCTCGCAGGCTTGATTGATGCATGTTATCGTATCTCATTTGTGTAGATTGATGCTCATGATGTCAATCCCCGCGTTGTCTGGTCCAGACTTTATTATTTACAGACCGCCGTCATATAGCTGGGATATTGCTGAGTGCGGCGTTAACAACAAACAAACAAAAATGAATAATGTTTGTCCATAGTTTGTATGACTTTCGCCCTCTTCATAGACCTTTTCACTTCCTCCGCAGGCACGTCTTTTTTAATGACAACTGCGTGATTGGTTCATGTCACCGGTAGCCTTTCCGCGAACACCTTGGGTTATATCTGCTTTTCACAACGACTTTGCCTTTTCGCCCGATGTAATCTGTTTCCACAGATATTCGAGATGTTTGGTTTCACCAACGTAGGACATCCTATATAAGCAGAGGACGTTTTCCATCAAGCTGAAGAAAGGAAGTCCTCGCCAGAAGGTTTTTGGCTTGTAAACTGAACCTGGGCAACGTTTGATTTCAGCTTCAGCAGAATGAATGCTTGTCTGGAATATATCTCCCTGGTTCGTGAAGAAGGAATGGGCAGAAATGTGTATTTTGACGTCTGCCATACAGGTGTATTGTTATTTGGCTGCAAACATCTTTATTTGAATACATTTGTCGTCATGTTCATGAAGCGCAATATATGATTTATCAGAACATAAGAGGGCAACTGTGTCTTAGCACACATGACAGACTGCTTATTTCTGGTCACAAAATTTAGATGTTTATAGAAAAACATAATGTCAAGTGCTGTGAATGTTATATGTTATGCTAGAATTGTCAGATTTCAACACCTATTGTTATTCATGCGTAACCAGGAATCGTGAGAACGTGGTATGTGCAAGCTGAGGTAACACAATACAGAGTTTCAAGTACTACACTTTCCATATTATGTGTGGCAATAGCTTTTGGGCAGACAACACGTTAGACTAAGAGGGTGTATTTTAAGGACAACATGGAGCTTAACAGGAGATTGTTTCACGGTTCTCTGGAACACATTTCATTGTTCCCTTTTCACTCACTTTAGGCAGACTTGATCAGAACATTTTATATGGAGAGAACTGAAAAGGCCACATCTGATTCCCATGGCAACATTTCAAGGTTATCAATAATTTGATAATTTGACATTTTCCTAAGACATAAAGGTCCCTTATATAATTATGTTTGACTCATCTTCGATTAACAAAATTCTTTGTAAAGAAAAGCACGCAAAACTTCACATGCCATAGCAAAGTCACATGACCCTGATCGTGTTAAAAGGTATGTTCTAAATGTTCAATTTTTACTCACTGACAAAATAGTCCTCCAAAGCCATTAACTTTTCAGGTGTGTCAAAGGACATCAAATCCCCGCCGTCCTTCTTGCACTCAACGCGAGCATCATCCCAGGACATCGTTACATGGCGGTAAGTGTAGATGTAACTTGTTCCTGTAGCAGGGCCTGAGTTTAAAAAAGATAATACACGATTAAAGCCAGCGAGACCACGGAGTGATACATGTTTGGAAGCTTTGGCCACAGTTGCTGAAATTTGCCCTTGCATCTGACTTCCCATGATAACAGCATAAGATATATGTTACATTTGTACTAACGTGGGGACAGTTAGCAGGAGTGGATTCCGGGCCCAGACTTTGTTCCTAGTACCTCCTGCTTGTCCCAGTAAATGGGGATCAGTTGGTTAGACTCACTACGCTCATGCTCTCAGTCATTGGTTTGCCTAGTCCAGAACCCATTATTTGTCTGACGTGGCATAATTCGTCTTTAAATACAACCCACTTCAGTTATTCTCTCCACACACTGATTGATTAAACCAGGGACAGGAGGGAAGGTGGCTCAACATACATAATTGGAAACAATTAAATATATTGAATGCCTAATCATTGGCAATGTTTAATTAATATTGTTGTTAGATATATTCTGTTCAGGTAATTTCAAATTCCACAGGACACTGTGATAAAGTAAATTAAAAATAACAGATGATTGTTACTCTGTAAGAGTTTAAGGTTTTGAAGTAACTTTCTAATGCATTCACTTCGGACTTTTACAAGGTGTAATAACGCAGTAAATTGTTAAAATCAGTGGTGATTTGTCATAAACAACAACCGTTATTTCCAATAGCTCATCTTCGGTAACTGTAACAAACATCTACTGTAAATTACAATGGCTTATCTGAGGTAACTGTAACAAACATCTACTGTAAATTACAATGGCTCATCTGAGGTAACTGTAACAAACATCTACTGTAAATTACAATGGTTCATCTGAGGTAACTGTAACAAACATCTACTGTAAATTACAATGGCTCATCTGAGGTAACTGTAACAAACATCTACTGTAAATTACAATAGCTCATCTGAGGTAACTGTAACAAACATCTACTGTAAATTACAATGGCTCATCTGAGGTAACTGTAACAAACATCTACTGTAAATTACAATGGTTCATCTGAGGTAACTGTTACAAACATCTACTGTAAATTACAATGGCTCAACTGAGGTAACTGTAGCAAACATCTACTGTAAATTACAATGGCGTATCTGCGGTAACTGTAACAAACATCTACTGTAAATTACAATGGCTCATCTGAGGTAACTGTAACAAACATCTACTGTAAATTACAATGGCTCATCTGAGGTAACTGTAACAAACATCTACTGTAAATTATAATGGCTCATCTGAGGTAACTGTAACAAACATCTACTGTAAATTACAATGGCTCATCTGAGGTAACTGTAACAAACATCTACTGTAAATTACAATGGCTCATCTGAGGTAACTGTAACAAACATCTACTGTAAATTACAATGGCTCATCTGAGGTAACTGTAACAAACATCTACTGTAAATTACAATGGCTCATCTGAGGTAATTGTAACAAACATCTACTGTAAATTACAATGGTTCATCTGCGGTAACTGTAACAAACATCTACTGTAAATTACAATGGCTCATCTGAGGTAAATGTGACAAACATCTACTGTAAATTACAATAGCTCATCTGAGGTAACTGGAACAAACATCTACTGTAAATTACAATGGCTCATCTGAGGTTACTGTAACAAACATCTACTGTAAATTACAATGGCTCATCTGCGGTAACTGTAACAAACATCTACTGTAAATTACAATGGCTCATCTGCGATAACTGTAACAAACATCTACTGTAAATTACAATGGCCGCTCTGCGGTAACTGTAACAAACATCTACTGTAAATTACAATGGCTCATCTGAGGTAACTGTAAAAAACATCTACTGTAAATTACAATGGCTCATCTGAGGTAACTGTAACAAACATCTACTGTAAATTACAATGGCTCATCTGAGGTAACTGTAACAAACATCTACTGTAAATTACAATGGCTCATCTGAGGTAACTGTAACAAACATCTACTGTAAATTACAATGGCTCATCTGAGGTAGCTGTAGGAAACATCTACTGTAAATTACAATGGCTCATCTGAGGTAACTGTAACAAACATCTACTGTAAATTACAATGGCTCATCTGAGGTAGCTGTAGGAAACATCTACTGTAAATTACAATGGCTCATCTGAGGTAACTGTAACAAACATCTACTGTAAATTACAATGGCTCATCTGAGGTAGCTGTAACAAACATCTACTGTAAATTACAATCGCTCATCTGAGGTAACTGTAACAAACATCTACTGTAAATTACAATGGCTCATCTGAGGTAACTGTAACAAACATCTACTGTAAATTACAATGGCTCATCTGAGGTAACTGTAACAAACATCTACTGTAAATTACAATCGCTCATCTGAGGTAACTGTAACAAACATCTACTGTAAATTACAATGGCTCATCTGAGGTAACTGTAACAAACATCTACTGTAAATTACAATGGCTCATCTGAGGTAGCTGTAACAAACATCTCCTGTAAATTACAATGGCTCATCTGAGGTAACTGTAACAAACATCTACTGTAAATTACAATGGCTCATCTGAGGTAGCTGTAACAAACATCTACTGTAAATTACAATGGCTCATCTGAGGTAACAAACATCTACTGTAAATTCCAATGGCTCATCTGAGGTAACTGTAACAAACATCTACTGTAAATTACAATGGCTCATCTGAGGTAACTGTAACAAACATCTACTGTAAATTACAATGGCTCATCTGAGGTAACTGTAACAAACATCTACTGTAACTTACAATGGCTCATCTGCGGTAACTGTAACAAACATCTACTGTAAATTACAATGGCCGCTCTGCGGTAACTGTAACAAACATCTACTGTAAATTACAATGGCTCATCTGAGGTAACTGTAAAAAGCATCTACTGTAAATTACAATAGCTCATCTGAGGTAACTGTAACAAACATCTACTGTAAATTACAATGGCTCATCTGAGGTAACTGTAACAAACATCTACTGTAAATTACAATGGCTCATCTGAGGTAACTGTAACAAACATCTACTGTAAATTACAATGGCTCATCTGAGGTAGCTGTAGGAAACATCTACTGTAAATTACAATGGCTCATCTGAGGTAACTGTAACAAACATCTACTGTAAATTACAATGGCTCATCTGAGGTAGCTGTAGGAAACATCTACTGTAAATTACAATGGCTCATCTGAGGTAACTGTAACAAACATCTACTGTAAATTACAATGGCTCATCTGAGGTAACTGTAATAAACATCTACTGTAAATAACAATGGCTCATCTGAGGTAGCTGTAACAAACATCTACTGTAAATTACAATGGCTCATCTGCGGTAACTTTAACAAACATCTACTGTAAATTACAATCGCTCATCTGAGGTAACTGTAACAAACATCTACTGTAAAGTACAATGGCTCATCTGAGGTAACTGTAACAAACATCTACTGTAAATTACAATCGCTCACCTGAGGTAGCTGTAACAAACATCTACTGTAAATTACAATGGCTCATCTGAGGTAACTGTAACAAACATCTACTGTAAATTACAATGGCTCATCTGAGGTAGCTGTAACAAACATCTACTGTAAATTACAATGGCTCATCTGAGGTAACTGTAACAAACATCTACTGTAAATTACAATGGCTCATCTGAGGTAACTGTAACAAACATCTACTGTAAATTACAATGGCTCATCTGCGGTAGCTGTAACAAACATCTACTGTAAATTACAATGGCTCCTCTGAGGTTACTGTAACAAACATCTACTGTAAATTACAATGGCTCATCTGAGGTAGCTGTAACAAACATCTACTGTAAATTACAATGGCTCATCTGAGGTAACTGTAACAAACATCTACTGTAAATTACAATGGCTCATCTCAGGTAACTGTAAAAAACTTCTACTGTAAATTACAATGGCTCATCTGAGGTAGCTGTAACAAACATCTACTGTAAATTATAATGGCTCATCTGAGGTAACTGTAACAAACATCTACTGTAAATTACAATGGCTCATCTGAGGTAACTGTAACAAACATCTACTGTAAATTACAATGGCTCATCTGAGGTAACTGTAACAAACATCTACTGTAAATTACAATGGCTCATCTGAGGTAGCTGTAACAAACATCTACTGTAAATTACAATGGCTCATCTGAGGTAGCTGTAACAAACATCTCCTGTAAATTACAATGGCTCATCTGAGGTAACTGTAACAAACATCTACTGTAAATTACAATGGCTCATCTGAGGTAGCTGTAACAAACATCTACTGTGAATTACAATGGCTCATCTGAGGTAACAAACATCTACTGTAAATTACAATGGCTCATCTGAGGTAACTGTAACAAACATCTACTGTAAATTATAATGGCTCATCTGAGGTAACTGTAACAAACATCTACTGTAAATTACAATGGCTCATCTGAGGTAACTGTAACAAACATCTACTGTAAATTACAATGGCTCATCTGCGGTAACTGTAACAAACATCTACTGTAAATTACAATGGCCGCTCTGCGGTAACTGTAAGAAACATCTACTGTAAATTACAATGGCTCATCTGAGGTAACTGTAAAAAACATCTACTGTAAATTACAATGGCTCATCTGAGGTAACTTTAACAAACATCTACTGTAAATTACAATGGCTCATCTGAGGTAACTGTAACAAACATCTACTGTAAATTACAATGGCTCATCTGAGGTAACTGTAACAAACATCTACTGTAAATTACAATGGCTCATCTGATGTAGCTGTAGGAAACATCTACTGTAAATTACAATGGCTCATCTGAGGTAACTGTAACAAACATCTACTGTAAATTACAATGGCTCATCTGAAGTAGCTGTAACAAACATCTACTGTAAATTACAATGGCTCATCTGAGGTAACTGTAACAAACATCTACTGTAAATTACAATGGCTCATCTGAGGTAACTTTAACAAACATCTACTGTAAATTACAATCGCTCATCTGAGGTAACTGTAACAAACATCTACTGTAAATTACAATCGCTCATCTGAGGTA